GAAATGTGTGTGACTGATGTGTGCTTGACACTGATGTGACTAGTAAGATTCTTTCCTTCCAACACAGCAAATAGGTCTGATCCTGTTAAATGGAGTAGATCAGAGAGAGAGAGTGGTGGAAGCATATACTAACTAGAGATCTCCATATTAGTAACAAAGTCTTTCCATTGCAATTGATCCTCAGTGTGCACATGTGCACGTGCACACACACAACATACCCACAATAGAGACGTGAAGAAACAAGGCAACAAAATGGGCATTAATGGGGAGGAAAGAAAAAACCAAATGGTTGAAATGTACAATGTGAGAAAAGAAGCAGCAACAAAAAACAGGTCAGTAAGGTACTTGGGAAGCACAGAGATGCTATAACTAAGTAGATAAGGGATTTAAAATGACCAGTGAGCTTAAGGACAGTTCAAATAAAAAGCTAGCTGAGTTAACCACAACAATACAAAACATGAATAACCAGTTTAGTAAAGAATTAAAAGTCTGTGAAAAGGTACCAAACAGAAATCAAGGAGATTAAAAAATACTGTTAAGTATGGGCAGAAGTGACCAACGAAAGGAAAGAGTGTCAAAACTAGAAGATAGAGCTGATGTAGGTGACTGTTACTTAGAGATACCTTAAAAGCAAGAAAAACCAGTAAATGATCCAACAGCTTCTAGATAATGCAAAGAAGACTAACCTAAGGTTGATTGGAATTAGAAGTTAGAAGATGGCACGGATAGCACAAAAAAATTGTTTACAGAAGTCAGAAAATTTTTCAAGTATGGGGAAAGAATTCAGCATACAGGTAAGCAATGTGTATAGAATCCCAGATAGCCATGATCTGAAAAAACTTCCTTACAGCACATCAGTTATAATCCCTGAAGTCCAGCACATGGATGGAATTTTAAAATCTGTCAGAGGCTGGGTGTGGTCGTGCAGGCCTATAATCCCAGCGTTTGGGAGGCTGAGGCTTAAGGATCACCACCAGTTCAAGGCTAGCATGAGCTACATAGCAAGACCATGTCTCAAAAAATAAAATCTGTTAGAGGAAAACAACAAATCACCCTTAAAGATAAGCTGGATTACTGCAGATTTCTGAACACAAATCTTAAAGGCCAGGAGAGCATGGAGAGAAGTTCTCCAAGCCTTAAAAGAATATAACTTTTGACCCAGATTAATATATCCTGCAGAATTGATAGAGCCAGGCACGGTGGCACATACCTATAATCCCAGCATTTGGAAGACTAAGGCAGGAGAATCGATTTAAGGCCAGCCTGAGCTACACCCATAGTGAGACCCTGTCTTTTAAAAAAAAAAAAGAGGAGAAATTAGAACCTTCCTTAAGAACTTTATGACTGCGAAACTAACACTCAAGGATATACTCAAGAAACTAACACTTAAGAAAATACTCAGGGATATCCCAGACAGAGACAATGAAGACATCAATGCCAAAAGGCCTACAACAAGCAGTGTAAGCAGTTAAGCAAAAGGTGAACATAAAGGAATCAGCAGTGGAAAAACAGCACAGTGACAGGAATCAGTACATTTCAGTACTATCTCTCAATGTAAATAGTCTCAACTCCCCAATGAAAAGACACACTTGACAGAGTGGATTAAAGAATAGAATCCAATGGTATACGGTGTATGAAAAGTACACTTAATATTTAAAGAACCCCTTAGATTAAAACAGAGGATAGAAAACATTTTTTTTCCTGCAACAGGAGCATGAAAACAAGCAGGAGGGGCTGGGGATTTAGCTCAGCGGCAAAAAGCGCCTGCCTGGCAAGCGCAAGGTCGTGAGTTTGGTTCCCGGTACCGGAGAAAAACCGAAACCAAA